TTTGTTTGTTACCTCTTGAAATAGACGAATACGTACAGAAAGCGACACTTCATACCAAATATGTTGGAAAGCAGTGAATACAGCGGATTTCACAGACCAGAGACTTCTTGCTTATAGGAACAGTTGAAGCTCATGATCTCAAAAGATAAAAACATTTTATTATTTGTTCTTTTTAATCTTCAGAAAAATAGACCGCTTTTGAAATAGGAATATTTAAGAAGGTTCTTTGTTAATTTGCAACCCTTTGTATTTTAATATGGGACAAAGCTGAAGTTAAGTGTAGATTGAGACAAACGTTGCATTGTCATCAAAAATGGTCACCATTTAAAAAGTATTATCCTCCGCAGATTTCGTAAATCCTATTAGCTTTTAACCTCCTCGGTGATTTCGCATCATTTCCTGATTCTGTTAATCTCTATTCATTTATCTCTGCTGTTTTCCTGATTTTTCAGTTGTACTTTGTTTAAATTTACTCCTCATTTTTGTTTTGCGCTTCATATATTCGCTGTTTTTCTTCCTTTACCTTATTCCGTTTTACTGAACGCTCTTTTCCTTTTTCTTATGAATTTATTCGTTACTCTGGAGATTCTTTTCTTGCCTCCACCAATTCATTGAGGTAATTTGGCACCGAAAATGTGTACTTTTACTTTATAGCTGATACTTTGCTTCCACGGTCTTCTTGTTTCTTACGGAACTGCTCCGCATATATACATTTTATTACTGAAATCACCGACGTTTCGAGTCATACTCAGTTCGTTGTCAAGGTAAAGTAGTATAAACAGATCTGCAAGATCAACGTGGTTAAGTTACAGTTTGGTCTATCACAGGAGCCATAATTTCTGGCTGCGTGTGAATTGATGTTGACGTACAGATATTGCTCAGATTCATGCTGTTGTTTCTATTTATGCACCTATTGGCCTGTATGAAGAGAGGCTCCTCGATCTTTCTAAAATTGTAGTTATTTTCAGCGCAGATTGCGCTGATGTGCTGTCAGTCTAATTCATAATTCTTGATGACACAATGTTGAACAGCCGACCTGTTTTTGCATTTTTCTTTGATAACCATGGGATCCTTCTCATGTGTCTTCTGCTGTACCCTTATTGCACATGGACCTTTTCTCTTAAGTCAGCGTTGTTCTACCTCGTAAGGCTATGCATGTGTTCTCCTTTCTTAGATGAAATTATCCGTTTCCGTATTGTAGACTTCGCCACATTTGCGAGGTACATATTAGACCTATCCGTACTGTTCGTCCTGCAGTACCTTCGTTTTACATTGTTAAAACTTGCAAAGCAGTTCTTTGCTATGTGCATGATTCCGTAGAAAACATATTCCTTCATCCTTGTTCCATCGATTTGCTTTACATTTCCATGCTTGGAAACGTGTCTGACTCTGTTCTTTTCGTAGAGCTTATTGTGCACAGCGCTGACGTCGATTTCTGTTCCATCAGCTAGGAGTCCTTTACTTGAAAAACAGTGTCTACAGGTATTTGATAACTGCAGCATGTAACTGCCTGTAGTCAACACCCTTACTATGCACAATATGCATCATTTTCACTCAGGATGAGGAAGGAGATTAAAGTTTGTATTGTTGCGATGTCGGTATCCCTTACACTTCTGTGATTAGCGTCACCTGTGGCGCTGTTGTTTCACTTCGTTTTTAATACGGCGCCGGTCTGTTTTGCCGTGGTTTAGGCGCAGGTTTCTACTTTCTTTCCACATAATAACACTCGTTGACATGCTTCAAAAAATTCTAAGTGGACTTGCCGGAATTCAAACTCTCCTTCATCTAATGATCTGTCGACTGTGAGTCACGGAGGATAAACGTTCCAACGAAAAGAAAAAAATGACAGTGAACAAGCTGTCTTGACGGAAAGATACTCTTTCACGTCCCCTCATAGCACAGCCTAATGTTTAACGCAAACGTCACTTTAAAATAATTTGTATTGTCATTCTGCCACTTCTTACGTGTGTCACTGTTTCAGATTATGCCGTGACAAGTGGTTCGAAGATCTGCATCATTACAGCAGGTGTTCGACAACGCTCTGACGAAAGCCGTCTCAGCTTGGTGCACCGTAACGTAGAAATATTCAGTAGTAAGTAATGATGAATCGTGCCTAACTGTATCAATTCACAAACAAATTGTTAGACTGACGACATACAGTTAAAGGTGACTTATCGCCACGTTTCACTAAGGGTTTAAAAAGCTATTGCATTAATTTAGATTTTCACCCAAACGAATTATGAATTTTAAAGGCATCGCTCAAGTATATTTTGATAGGGGAGGAAGTGAGGCAACATTTACGAGATATGCTTCGGATCAGGCCGTGGTACAGAGACAAAAAATTTCTGATTGGTTCCTTTAAAACATGGCATTTTCCTTTATTACTGAATAACTGAATTTCGATGTTATAAATTTTTTGTGCATTTTTCTGTTACATCTCCATCTCGCCGGTCTTTCATCGCTCGGGTTATAGATGGTTTACGGCGTAATTTCAAGGGAGGGGGTGTTAAGCAAGCTTTGTAAGAACAAAGATGTTGGCAACAGCACATTTGCGGATATGCTAGACTTGCATTATGAGCGCCTTGTTCTGTCCTGGATACGAGGGAGATGAAGATTTTATGATCAATACTACTAATGATTTCGTACGGCCCTGTGTCAAATGCTGTTATAAGCTGTTGTTATCATCGTAATCTGAGGTATCAGTATCAAAGACCGAGTATGCAGCTTAATTGCGTTTGCGGTTTAGTTTCTCACAATGATTCAGGCGATGTTGGTTATTGTGGCAGTGGTCTCATAATTCGTCGCAAGCAAATCTGCCTCTGGCAGCTACTTTAGGGTATGATGTTGGCCTTCGACGCATCTGCGGCCATTTTTTGCTGGTATTAAGTGTCAAAATCTTTGATTTCATGTCCTCACCTATGAATCGGTATTGCCTCTGTAGCTATGATATTCTCTTTG